AAAGGGGGACCAGGGGAGAGGCGGGGGTAGATAGGAGCCTAAGGGGACCTTACTGTGACGGGGCAGGCACAGGGTCCGCGCCGCCCCGCACTGAGACGGGGAACCCGGGAACAGGAGCCCCGGCCGAGACGGCCGTCGGCCCGCCGCGTTCCCCGGCGCCGGGCGATGACGTCACCGAGAGCGACGGGGAGAGCGCGGGGAGGGGCGGGGCCTGGAGTCACGGGACCACGCCGGCCCCGGCGTCCGCAGGGGAGCGGGCCATTCAAAGGGCACCGGACCATGGACCGGGGGAGGGGAGTGCTGGAGGCAGGACGGAGGAACCGGGTCTGTTGGGAGACCCTGGAAAGGAGAAGCGGTACTCGCGGCGGCTGAAGCCTCACCCGCGACAGGGACTCCGGGTGAGTCTATCCCCTTGCTGGGGGGAACGCGCCGAACAACCGGCCGGGAAGAAGTGACCCAGGGCGGGGCCGTGGTCCCCGCGAGTGGAGGGTTTGGGGGGAACGTAACCCCCTCCACTGACTAGGGACTAGCGTCCCCGTCTTAGGGCCCTGGGTCGGGGCTCGGAGTGAGGGAGGGCCCGAGCCCCCTTCCCGGCGTCTGCGAGCCAGTGCGGGCTCCGGCATCCCGCACGGTCGGCCGGGAGCTACGATCGGTCAGAGGGCCAAGAGTCCGATCAGCTAGGAAGGACGAGGGTCACCCGAACTCGGGGTGACCACCAGGGCACAGGGTTACAAGTGCACAAGAGCCTGTGGAGATGTACAACTCCTGAAAATCCCTGTGAATATAAATTGTGCAAAGTCCTCTTCATCCCACCTTGGAATTAGTCAAAAGAGAAAGAGCTGAGTAGGACCAGCTCTCTATTGATCTTATAAAATTTTGCAATTTTCAAATACACACCCTTTGATAACCTTCACTCCATCCAAACAGCACCCTATAAACAACCTCAACTTGCCCTCTAAGTTCCATGTAATAATACACACACACAACCTCAACTTTTACTAAGTTACATCCAATGATATATACAAAACCATCTATAATTTTCAAAAACTCATAACCCTTTTTCACACCAGACCTCAAAAACAATAATCACAAAACTGCACTTCTACACTAACAATATTAATAGCTAACATTTGACGGAAATTCCTACGTAAACCTTCCACAACATCAGTCCGTAGCTTTCATTTAATACAATATTAAAAAACAGATAAATGTAACCACAAGTACTACCAATACTCTCCTATCAAAAATACCCTAACACAATGGGGCAAAGTTAAAATTGAATATGTGATGTAATTTGGTTGGTGTGACAGCTAAAGCAGAGTAGTTATTTGAAAATTGCAAAACAGGAGAATACTCTTACCAACTAGTTTCTAGAATCTAGACAAACATTTAGTGTTGTAGCTTTTTTTTTTAAAGTATGATATGGAGATCTCAAAATATTACTTAAGACATTATCTGGAGTAAGCATTAACAAACCTTTCAACTTTAAAATATCTCAGAGTTGTTTTTGTGTGTGTGTGGAATGCAAATACATGTTTTCCTTCCACTTACAACTATGCACTCCTCGCAGGAAATAGTATTATTTTAGAAAGGGTGAGTCTACACTGCAACCTTAGCTCAAAGTAACCTATACCATTTAAGCTATGCAATAAGCATTTGATCTTATTTTGTAATTTGGCATTATTTACACAGTGCCAAATTTCACATAAACCCTTATTCTGAAATCTCTCTCAATTCTTGCGGAACGAGGTTTACAGGGATGTCAGAATAGCAAGTTCATTATATTTATAAATAATGGGCTTGTTTAAAAGATGTGGAATAACTATATCGGGAAACCGGAAGTATCCCAAAATAGCGCCACAGTATAGAGGTACCCAAAGTGATTATTTGTTTAGTCAAAAATCACATAGTCACATACATTTGAAATATTTTGAAACTCATAAAGATGAAATCAACATTTAGATGGAAATTATTCAGTACTGTTTACTATTACTAATTGGCAAGCACCTCAAAATCGGTACAAATATAGTTCAATTCTACATTTCATAATTTTCACTGTTCTGGCATTAAAGAGGATTTTATGATGGGCAGAGAGAAGGGATAGGTGTAAATAATATGGGTGCTTCAATGGCCTTATTAGAGTGCTCCAAAGCATCTTTGTTCTTCAGTTCTGATCAATTTGCTGTCACTAACAGATTAAGAATATGAAAATGACTACTTGCTAAATCCCAGATTTCTAAATAAAAAATCAAAATGACTAAGAAGGAATCATAAATGTTAAACTTTCATAAATCAACACAACAGTCCTATCTCATTTGTAATGGAATCTGAACATTAAAGGCACAAAATATTATTTTGCAGACTGACTGACAAGCCGTTTTCAAGAAAGACCATACATATTGTTAGATGTATTATCAGAGTTCCATGATTAGAAACAGTTAAAGGAGGCTGCAAAAAATCATTCAATCATTCAATCATTCATATTGTGGTTCATGAAAAATTTTCTTAAAATTACACTAAAAAATTGAGATTCTGTTTCTTATATACAATTGCCTTTTAAAACCATTAAACAGCAGAGAAATGAAGGTCAGTTTCCTGAATTTATCCTTCCAATGCATTAAGAGTTCTGATGGTGAAAATGGTTATAAACCTGAAGAGAAAAAACAATTTCGTACAACAATATTTACCATGAGGTCCATAACTAGTACATTATATTGCTACATAAATTATATAAATATTAAATTAAGAATAAAGTTAGTTTAAATTTATTCAATATGTCAGATTATTTTATACTTAATGATGGAAGAACATCAGAATTACAAATATATACAATTCCTACGTACCGTCAGAATGTTTTCAAATTCAGAAGTGTAGAATTCCAAAAACGAAAAGAGAGCATCTCTATTCGGATTTACCAGGAGCTGCTGAAAAATGTCCATCTCAAGCAGTGAGCATAAAAAAAGCCACGACACTTGGCTGTCATATTCCAGGAAAAGCAATATAAAGGGACCCTGGACAGAGTTTCTCGGGGGCAGGACAAGTAGTGTCTGATGAGATTTGGACCCTGCTTACAGGGTGCTCATGCTGACCACCAGCCACAGTGGCATAACCTCGAGAGACAAAAGGGCAGAGGCACGATCCCTCATTAAGGGGAGGTCAACCAGCCCCAATTACTAAAATGCTGCAAACTTCTCACACAGAGCAAGGAGAGGTCCAACCTAGAGCTCCCTGTGACATGGGGCTCTTAATTACGGGCTGCTCGCTCTGTCCAGAGTCCCTTTCCTTCTCCTCCAGCTACAGGGGCTTGCTTGCTTGCTTTCATCCTACTTGCTTGACATTTCGTAGCATCTTCCTTCTTTCTTCTCTTCCTTGGCAGCACTGAAACCAGAGAGAGACGGAGGGAGAGAGAGATGAGGTATGACGGTACTACTTGTGATCGATCAATTTTCTTCAAAAAGTACCAGAGGAGCACGTCTTTCGGAACTTACCTGCAACTGCTGCAGAATGTCTCATCTCTGGCGGCCAGGCGGATGAGCCGAAGCGAGGCGAGGACATGGAATTCCAGGCAAGCTGAGAAGGGTGCGAACTGAAGCCTGATTACTAGGCGCATAAGAGAGAATTGTTTTTTCATAGCGCAAAGGGAGGAGACCAGAACCCTGGATACAGGGCGGTCACCCAGGCCATGGTACAAACGTAGTTCTAAGCTCTCGGGAGCAGGAGACATGCGACCCGCACCCCAGTTACTGAGTGGTCACACTATCAACAGGCCGCAATGGCAAAATGTGAAGAGGGCGGAGACCAGAACCCCAAATTACAGGCAGGCCTCAGTACCAATGGCACGAACCTCGTCCTAATCCCTTCTAAAGGAGAGGGATTCGACCTGCACCTGAATTACGGGCGGTCCGTTGAAATTAGGCTGCTACAGAAACTTTTAATGCCAAGAGCCCAAAGGACAGCGACCTTCTCCTGAATTACAGCGAGGTCACGCTGCACCGCCTTCCGCAGAGCTCGATCGCCCCCAGAAGCAACAGGACCGTGACTTGCACCCGAATTACGGGGCAGTCACTCGCCCTAGCCAGCTAAAAGAGCAGACTGCCCACTGGCTAAGAGAGCACAGACCTGAGCCCTGCTTACAGGGAGGCCACACTGCTCAAGGAAAGAAATGGCTCACAAGCTCTAAGTGACATGGGGCTCTTAATTACGGGCTGCTCGCTCTGTCCAGAGTCCCTTTCCTTCTCCTCCAGCTTCAGGGGCTTGCTTGCTTGCTTTCCTCCTACTTGCTTGACATTTCTTAGCATCTTCCTTCTTTCTTCTCTTCCTTGGCAGCGCTGGAACCAGAGAGACACGGAGGGAGAGAGAGATGAGGCATGACGGTACTACTTGTGATCGATCAATTTTCTTCAAAAAGTACCAGAGGAGCACGTCTTTCGGAACTTACCTGCAACTGCTGCAGAATGTCTCATCTCCGGCGGCCAGGCGGATGAGCCGCAGCGAGGCGAGGATGTGGAATTCCAGGCAAGCTGGGAAGGGTGCGGAACGGGCGGGGACCCTGGACAGAGTTTCTCGGGGGCAGGACAAATAGTGTCTGATGAGACTTGGACCCTGCTTACAGGGTGCTCATGCTGACCAGCAGCCACAGTGGCATGACCTCGAGAGACAAAAGGGCAGAGGCACGATCCCTCGTTACAGGGAGGTCACCCAGCCCCAATCACTAAAATGCTGCGAACCCCTCCCACAGAGCAAGCAGAGGTCCAACCTAGAGCTCCCTGATTTCCAGGCTGGTCAGTCAAACTCGCCAGCTCAAGGCGTATTAATGCGAAATGAGAGGCGGGCAAAGACCTTTCCCTCGGTTACAGGGAGGTCGCGCTGGTCAAGATGGCAAGGGCCACAATGTGCCCATAGAAGAGGGAGGTACGTGGCATGCACCCTAATTAACAGGACTGCCACGCTGACTCGGCTGAAACAGAGACCCGAGCATTCCTTTCAGGGAGGCCGTGGGGCTGGGCTCACTAAAGCGCTCACAGGATCCCCTGTCAGCCGCGCCTTATGGTGACTTGCACCCAACATTACGGGGTAGTCACTCTCAGTAGCCAGCAGCCGGAGCCCAAAAGGGCCGACCTGAAGCCTGATTACAGGGAGGTCAGACTGCTCAAACGCACGTTGCCGCGTGAGCAACAGGAGGAAACTCCCTCCCTACGAACAGAGTGGTCACTCCGACTAGGCGCATAAGAGAGAATTGTTTTTTCATAGCGCAAAGGGAGGAGACCAGAACCCTGGATACAGGGCGGTCACCCAGGCCATGGTACAAACGTAGTTCTAAGCTCTCGGGAGCAGGAGACATGCGACCCGCACCCCAGTTACTGAGTGGTCACACTATCAACAGGCCGCAATGGCAAAATGTGAAGAGGGCGGAGACCAGAACCCCAAATTACAGGCAGGCCTCAGTACCAATGGCACGAACCTCGTCCTAATCCCTTCTAAAGGAGAGGGATTCGACCTGCACCTGAATTACGGGCGGTCCGTTGAAATTAGGCTGCTACAGAAACTTTTAATGCCAAGAGCCCAAAGGACAGCGACCTTCTCCTGAATTACAGCGAGGTCACGCTGCACCGCCTTCCGCAGAGCTCGATCGCCCCCAGAAGCAACAGGACCGTGACTTGCACCCGAATTACGGGGCAGTCACTCGCCCTAGCCAGCTAAAAGAGCAGACTGCCCACTGGCTAAGAGAGCACAGACCTGAGCCCTGCTTACAGGGAGGCCACACTGCTCAAGGAAAGAAATGGCTCACAAGCTCTAAGTGACATGGGGCTCTTAATTACGGGCTGCTCGCTCTGTCCAGAGTCCCTTTCCTTCTCCTCCAGCTTCAGGGGCTTGCTTGCTTGCTTTCCTCCTACTTGCTTGACATTTCTTAGCATCTTCCTTCTTTCTTCTCTTCCTTGGCAGCGCTGGAACCAGAGAGACACGGAGGGAGAGAGAGATGAGGCATGACGGTACTACTTGTGATCGATCAATTTTCTTCAAAAAGTACCAGAGGAGCACGTCTTTCGGAACTTACCTGCAACTGCTGCAGAATGTCTCATCTCCGGCGGCCAGGCGGATGAGCCGCAGCGAGGCGAGGATGTGGAATTCCAGGCAAGCTGGGAAGGGTGCGGAACGGGCGGGGACCCTGGACAGAGTTTCTCGGGGGCAGGACAAATAGTGTCTGATGAGACTTGGACCCTGCTTACAGGGTGCTCATGCTGACCAGCAGCCACAGTGGCATGACCTCGAGAGACAAAAGGGCAGAGGCACGATCCCTCGTTACAGGGAGGTCACCCAGCCCCAATCACTAAAATGCTGCGAACCCCTCCCACAGAGCAAGCAGAGGTCCAACCTAGAGCTCCCTGATTTCCAGGTTGGTCAGTCAAACTCGCCAGCTCAAGGCGTATTAATGCGAAATGAGAGGCGGGCAAAGACCTTTCCCTCGGTTACAGGGAGGTCGCGCTGGTCAAGATGGCAAGGGCCACAATGTGCCCATAGAAGAGGGAGGTACGTGGCATGCACCCTAATTAACAGGACTGCCACGCTGACTCGGCTGAAACAGAGACCCGAGCATTCCTTTCAGGGAGGCCGTGGGGCTGGGCTCACTAAAGCGCTCACAGGATCCCCTGTCAGCCGCGCCTTATGGTGACTTGCACCCAACATTACGGGGTAGTCACTCTCAGTAGCCAGCAGCAGGAGCCCAAAAGGGCCGACCTGAAGCCTGATTACAGGGAGGTCAGACTGCTCAAACGCACGTTGCCGCGTGAGCAACAGGAGGAAACTCCCTCCCTACGAACAGAGTGGTCACTCCGACTAGGCGCATAAGAGAGAATTGTTTTTTCATAGCGCAAAGGGAGGAGACCAGAACCCTGGATACAGGGCGGTCACCCAGGCCATGGTACAAACGTAGTTCTAAGCTCTCGGGAGCAGGAGACATGCGACCCGCACCCCAGTTACTGAGTGGTCACACTATCAACAGGCCGCAATGGCAAAATGTGAAGAGGGCGGAGACCAGAACCCCAAATTACAGGCAGGCCTCAGTACCAATGGCACGAACCTCGTCCTAATCCCTTCTAAAGGAGAGGGATTCGACCTGCACCTGAATTACGGGCGGTCCGTTGAAATTAGGCTGCTACAGAAACTTTTAATGCCAAGAGCCCAAAGGACAGCGACCTTCTCCTGAATTACAGCGAGGTCACGCTGCACCGCCTTCCGCAGAGCTCGATCGCCCCCAGAAGCAACAGGACCGTGACTTGCACCCGAATTACGGGGCAGTCACTCGCCCTAGCCAGCTAAAAGAGCAGACTGCCCACTGGCTAAGAGAGCACAGACCTGAGCCCTGCTTACAGGGAGGCCACACTGCTCAAGGAAAGAAATGGCTCACAAGCTCTAAGTGACATGGGGCTCTTAATTACGGGCTGCTCGCTCTGTCCAGAGTCCCTTTCCTTCTCCTCCAGCTTCAGGGGCTTGCTTGCTTGCTTTCCTCCTACTTGCTTGACATTTCTTAGCATCTTCCTTCTTTCTTCTCTTCCTTGGCAGCGCTGGAACCAGAGAGACACGGAGGGAGAGAGAGATGAGGCATGACGGTACTACTTGTGATCGATCAATTTTCTTCAAAAAGTACCAGAGGAGCACGTCTTTCGGAACTTACCTGCAACTGCTGCAGAATGTCTCATCTCCGGCGGCCAGGCGGATGAGCCGCAGCGAGGCGAGGATGTGGAATTCCAGGCAAGCTGGGAAGGGTGCGGAACGGGCGGGGACCCTGGACAGAGTTTCTCGGGGGCAGGACAAATAGTGTCTGATGAGACTTGGACCCTGCTTACAGGGTGCTCATGCTGACCAGCAGCCACAGTGGCATGACCTCGAGAGACAAAAGGGCAGAGGCACGATCCCTCGTTACAGGGAGGTCACCCAGCCCCAATCACTAAAATGCTGCGAACCCCTCCCACAGAGCAAGCAGAGGTCCAACCTAGAGCTCCCTGATTTCCAGGTTGGTCAGTCAAACTCGCCAGCTCAAGGCGTATTAATGCGAAATGAGAGGCGGGCAAAGACCTTTCCCTCGGTTACAGGGAGGTCGCGCTGGTCAAGATGGCAAGGGCCACAATGTGCCCATAGAAGAGGGAGGTACGTGGCATGCACCCTAATTAACAGGACTGCCACGCTGACTCGGCTGAAACAGAGACCCGAGCATTCCTTTCAGGGAGGCCGTGGGGCTGGGCTCACTAAAGCGCTCACAGGATCCCCTGTCAGCCGCGCCTTATGGTGACTTGCACCCAACATTACGGGGTAGTCACTCTCAGTAGCCAGCAGCAGGAGCCCAAAAGGGCCGACCTGAAGCCTGATTACAGGGAGGTCAGACTGCTCAAACGCACGTTGCCGCGTGAGCAACAGGAGGAAACTCCCTCCCTACGAACAGAGTGGTCACTCCGACTAGGCGCATAAGAGAGAATTGTTTTTTCATAGCGCAAAGGGAGGAGACCAGAACCCTGGATACAGGGCGGTCACCCAGGCCATGGTACAAACGTAGTTCTAAGCTCTCGGGAGCAGGAGACATGCGACCCGCACCCCAGTTACTGAGTGGTCACACTATCAACAGGCCGCAATGGCAAAATGTGAAGAGGGCGGAGACCAGAACCCCAAATTACAGGCAGGCCTCAGTACCAATGGCACGAACCTCGTCCTAATCCCTTCTAAAGGAGAGGGATTCGACCTGCACCTGAATTACGGGCGGTCCGTTGAAATTAGGCTGCTACAGAAACTTTTAATGCCAAGAGCCCAAAGGACAGCGACCTTCTCCTGAATTACAGCGAGGTCACGCTGCACCGCCTTCCGCAGAGCTCGATCGCCCCCAGAAGCAACAGGACCGTGACTTGCACCCGAATTACGGGGCAGTCACTCGCCCTAGCCAGCTAAAAGAGCAGACTGCCCACTGGCTAAGAGAGCACAGACCTGAGCCCTGCTTACAGGGAGGCCACACTGCTCAAGGAAAGAAATGGCTCACAAGCTCTAAGTGACATGGGGCTCTTAATTACGGGCTGCTCGCTCTGTCCAGAGTCCCTTTCCTTCTCCTCCAGCTTCAGGGGCTTGCTTGCTTGCTTTCCTCCTACTTGCTTGACATTTCTTAGCATCTTCCTTCTTTCTTCTCTTCCTTGGCAGCGCTGGAACCAGAGAGACACGGAGGGAGAGAGAGATGAGGCATGACGGTACTACTTGTGATCGATCAATTTTCTTCAAAAAGTACCAGAGGAGCACGTCTTTCGGAACTTACCTGCAACTGCTGCAGAATGTCTCATCTCCGGCGGCCAGGCGGATGAGCCGCAGCGAGGCGAGGATGTGGAATTCCAGGCAAGCTGGGAAGGGTGCGGAACGGGCGGGGACCCTGGACAGAGTTTCTCGGGGGCAGGACAAATAGTGTCTGATGAGACTTGGACCCTGCTTACAGGGTGCTCATGCTGACCAGCAGCCACAGTGGCATGACCTCGAGAGACAAAAGGGCAGAGGCACGATCCCTCGTTACAGGGAGGTCACCCAGCCCCAATCACTAAAATGCTGCGAACCCCTCCCACAGAGCAAGCAGAGGTCCAACCTAGAGCTCCCTGATTTCCAGGTTGGTCAGTCAAACTCGCCAGCTCAAGGCGTATTAATGCGAAATGAGAGGCGGGCAAAGACCTTTCCCTCGGTTACAGGGAGGTCGCGCTGGTCAAGATGGCAAGGGCCACAATGTGCCCATAGAAGAGGGAGGTACGTGGCATGCACCCTAATTAACAGGACTGCCACGCTGACTCGGCTGAAACAGAGACCCGAGCATTCCTTTCAGGGAGGCCGTGGGGCTGGGCTCACTAAAGCGCTCACAGGATCCCCTGTCAGCCGCGCCTTATGGTGACTTGCACCCAACATTACGGGGTAGTCACTCTCAGTAGCCAGCAGCAGGAGCCCAAAAGGGCCGACCTGAAGCCTGATTACAGGGAGGTCAGACTGCTCAAACGCACGTTGCCGCGTGAGCAACAGGAGGAAACTCCCTCCCTACGAACAGAGTGGTCACTCCGACTAGGCGCATAAGAGAGAATTGTTTTTTCATAGCGCAAAGGGAGGAGACCAGAACCCTGGATACAGGGCGGTCACCCAGGCCATGGTACAAACGTAGTTCTAAGCTCTCGGGAGCAGGAGACATGCGACCCGCACCCCAGTTACTGAGTGGTCACACTATCAACAGGCCGCAATGGCAAAATGTGAAGAGGGCGGAGACCAGAACCCCAAATTACAGGCAGGCCTCAGTACCAATGGCACGAACCTCGTCCTAATCCCTTCTAAAGGAGAGGGATTCGACCTGCACCTGAATTACGGGCGGTCCGTTGAAATTAGGCTGCTACAGAAACTTTTAATGCCAAGAGCCCAAAGGACAGCGACCTTCTCCTGAATTACAGCGAGGTCACGCTGCACCGCCTTCCGCAGAGCTCGATCGCCCCCAGAAGCAACAGGACCGTGACTTGCACCCGAATTACGGGGCAGTCACTCGCCCTAGCCAGCTAAAAGAGCAGACTGCCCACTGGCTAAGAGAGCACAGACCTGAGCCCTGCTTACAGGGAGGCCACACTGCTCAAGGAAAGAAATGGCTCACAAGCTCTAAGTGACATGGGGCTCTTAATTACGGGCTGCTCGCTCTGTCCAGAGTCCCTTTCCTTCTCCTCCAGCTTCAGGGGCTTGCTTGCTTGCTTTCCTCCTACTTGCTTGACATTTCTTAGCATCTTCCTTCTTTCTTCTCTTCCTTGGCAGCGCTGGAACCAGAGAGACACGGAGGGAGAGAGAGATGAGGCATGACGGTACTACTTGTGATCGATCAATTTTCTTCAAAAAGTACCAGAGGAGCACGTCTTTCGGAACTTACCTGCAACTGCTGCAGAATGTCTCATCTCCGGCGGCCAGGCGGATGAGCCGCAGCGAGGCGAGGATGTGGAATTCCAGGCAAGCTGGGAAGGGTGCGGAACGGGCGGGGACCCTGGACAGAGTTTCTCGGGGGCAGGACAAATAGTGTCTGATGAGACTTGGACCCTGCTTACAGGGTGCTCATGCTGACCAGCAGCCACAGTGGCATGACCTCGAGAGACAAAAGGGCAGAGGCACGATCCCTCGTTACAGGGAGGTCACCCAGCCCCAATCACTAAAATGCTGCGAACCCCTCCCACAGAGCAAGCAGAGGTCCAACCTAGAGCTCCCTGATTTCCAGGTTGGTCAGTCAAACTCGCCAGCTCAAGGCGTATTAATGCGAAATGAGAGGCGGGCAAAGACCTTTCCCTCGGTTACAGGGAGGTCGCGCTGGTCAAGATGGCAAGGGCCACAATGTGCCCATAGAAGAGGGAGGTACGTGGCATGCACCCTAATTAACAGGACTGCCACGCTGACTCGGCTGAAACAGAGACCCGAGCATTCCTTTCAGGGAGGCCGTGGGGCTGGGCTCACTAAAGCGCTCACAGGATCCCCTGTCAGCCGCGCCTTATGGTGACTTGCACCCAACATTACGGGGTAGTCACTCTCAGTAGCCAGCAGCAGGAGCCCAAAAGGGCCGACCTGAAGCCTGATTACAGGGAGGTCAGACTGCTCAAACGCACGTTGCCGCGTGAGCAACAGGAGGAAACTCCCTCCCTACGAACAGAGTGGTCACTCCGACTAGGCGCATAAGAGAGAATTGTTTTTTCATAGCGCAAAGGGAGGAGACCAGAACCCTGGATACAGGGCGGTCACCCAGGCCATGGTACAAACGTAGTTCTAAGCTCTCGGGAGCAGGAGACATGCGACCCGCACCCCAGTTACTGAGTGGTCACACTATCAACAGGCCGCAATGGCAAAATGTGAAGAGGGCGGAGACCAGAACCCCAAATTACAGGCAGGCCTCAGTACCAATGGCACGAACCTCGTCCTAATCCCTTCTAAAGGAGAGGGATTCGACCTGCACCTGAATTACGGGCGGTCCGTTGAAATTAGGCTGCTACAGAAACTTTTAATGCCAAGAGCCCAAAGGACAGCGACCTTCTCCTGAATTACAGCGAGGTCACGCTGCATCGCCTTCCGCAGAGCAAGATCGCCCCCAGAAGCAACAGGACCGTGACTTGCACCCGAATTACAGGTTAGTAACTCGCCATATTAATGCTAAATGAGGGGCCTGAAAAATGGGAAGAGGGAGAACAGAACTCAAATTACAGGTAGGTCTCAGGACCAATGGAATGAAACTTGTTCTAATCCCTTCTGAAGGAGCGGGATTCGACCTGTACTTGAATTACGGGCAGCCAATTGAAATTAGGGTGCTACATAAACTTAATGCCAATAGCCGAAAGGACAGCGACCTTCTCCTGAATTACAGTGAGGTCCCTCTGTCAATATTTTTAAATGATTAAACCGTTGCTGAGGAAATAGTCATGAGATCTGAGAGCTCTTTTAACCCTGTATATGATGAGTGGAAGGTGAAATATATCTGTGCACTTTAAGGTTTTTTTTTGATTCTGGGAAGTGTAACGGAAAAAAAAAAGCGCTGCAGCGATTAAAAAAAATAAAATAAAAATAATTCTTCTTTCATACCCATCTCTATCATTCGCACTCCTCAGCACATGCATGCGAAAAGTTAAACACTTCCCAGATCAGAAAAAATCTCATAGTGACAGGAGAGTTGACCAGTTGTCTTAAATGGGGGCAGTTCTCCACTCCAAAAAGGGGAAGAAGGGTAAAAGATGTACGCTCTTCATGGAAAAGGGTACAATTAACTAGACAGAAATGAAATGATATATAATGGAATACCTATGCCCTGCTTACAGGGAAGTACATGTTGAATAAGAAAGGAGTACTCTAATATACAAAAGAGAGATAAAAACCCTGGATACAGGGTTGTCACCCAGGCCATAGTACAAATGTCGTTCTAAGTTCTTATTCGCTGGACATATATGCCTTACACTTCAGTTACAGAGTGGTCACACCAGCTATACTACACACTAGGCACAGTTCCAAAAGGGGAAGAAGCAAATGACCTAAACCTAAATTACAAGCAGGGCAAAGTACAAATGGCTCTGAACTAGCCCTAAGCCATAATGGACAGAGGTCTCCTTCTGAATTACAGGGATGTCACACTGCTCTGGGTTGCAATATCCTCCATAAGTGACAGGACAAAGACCTGAACCTATGTTACAGGGAGCCCAAACTTCTCAAGGGATTAAAATGCTCCATAGCCATATGTTGCCCGAGCCTCTCAATTATGTTGTGCTCACTCTGTCCACAGTCCCTTTCCTTCTCCTCCTCCTTCTGGGGTTTGTTTTTCTCCTCCTAATTGATTGATATTTCTTAGCATCTTCCTACTTTCTTGTCTTTCTTGGCAGCATTGGAAACAGAAAGGGGGGTGGGGAGAGAGAGACTTGTGATCAATTTTATTGAAAACATGCCAGAGGAACCCTACTTATAGGGTGCCAGATTAGCATAATATGAAGTGACTGTAGGATAAGGACTCAGTCCCTAGTTACAGGGAGGTTCCCTGCCCCAATTATTAAAATGCTGTTAATCCCTCACATAGTTCGAGGAAGGATACAACCTAGACCCTGAGCTCTAGGGTTGTCATTCAAATTCACCAGCTCAAAGAGGAATGGAGGCATGTCTCAGAACCAATGGCACTTAAAATATCCCTAATATGGGAAGAATTCATCCTGCACCTGAATTATAGGGCCATCTGTTCTGTTTAACTAGCTACAAGGTCCTAATGCCAAGAATCCAAAGGGAGAGACCTCCTCCTGAATTACTGGAAGGCCACACAGCTCAATGTACCAAATGCCTCCATCTTTCCCATAAAAGAAAGAGATAATTGTGACATGCACCCTCGTCACACATTTGTCATGCTGACTAGACCCTGAATAGGGCATAATGTAAAGAGGAAAACAAGTCAAAGACCTTTCCCTAAGTTACTGGGAGGTCAAGCTGCTCAGGGTTTCAAACCTTCAATATCCCCAAAATCTGCATGCTCAAGACTTGTGTCCTCTTTACAGGGTTGTCACTCTCACTAGCCAGCTAACAGACAATAATGCCAAGAGTCCAGGAGATTACAGACCTGAACCTTTTCTCCAGGGAAATCATATTGCTCACATTTTTAATAGCTTCAACTCTCCCATGTGACCCAGCTCTTAGTTAAGGGGTGCTCACTCTGTCCAGAGTTTCTTTCCTTCTCCTCCACCATTAGTGTTTTCGTTTTTCCCTTCTATTTGCTCACAGTTATTTGGAAGTTTTCTTTTTCTTCTCTTCCTTGAAGGTGCTGGAAAGACAGAGAGACAGAAGGTAAGATAACCTTATGGGAGGGCTTAGCACACTCTATATGCCCAACATAAACTGGGCATGAATGAGGAATTTGTTCTTGTTTTCCCCAAATTTGCAGACTGTCCAAGCCCTCTGCCATTCGCCATCCACCTCAGTGCTTCCCAGTACCTCAGCCTGACTCCCTACATCTCTTCCCCTGCCACAGGACTCCCCCTCAGTCTGAATCCTCATTGTTCATCCCACTGCAGTGCTTCCACCATAGCCTGAACTGCTGCTGCTTACCCTATGCCTCAGCCCTTCCTGCCTCAGCCTGAGCCCTCCACCACTCACTCTCTGACACAGTGCTTCCCCTGCAACATGAACGTCTCCTACTACAGTGATTCCTGTCTCTGCCAGAAAACCCCCACCTCACCGCTTTCCACCTCAGCCTCACACTCAGGATTTCCCACCTTATCCTGAGCCCCCCACCTCAGCGCTTCCTGCCGTCAACCTCAGCCCCCTCAGGACAGCATTTCCCACATCAGCCTGATTCCCCCACCTCAGCAGTTCTTGCCTCAGCCTGGACCCCACCACCTCAATATTTCCCACTTCAGCCAGAGCCCCCTCAGTGCTTCTCGCTTCAGCTTCCTACATCAGGCTGAACTCCGCATTTCAGTGCTTTCCATTTCACTCTGCTTCCATCTAAGCGCTTCCCACCTCAGCCTCTGCCACCTCACCTCAGCCTTTCCCACCTCAGACTGAGCCCCCCTCACCTCGGCCCTTCCCACCTCAAACTGAGCCCCCCTCACCTCAGCCTTTCCCACCTCAGTCTGAACAACTCCCACCTCAACCTCACCCCCCTCACCTCAGTGTTTCCCACCTCAGCGTGATTCCCCCATCTCAGCACTTCTTGCCTCAACCTGTGTCCCCCAGTTCAGCATTTCCCACCTCAGCCAGAGCCCCCTCAGAGATTCCTGCATCAGCCTGAGCCCCACACCTCAGTGCTTTCCATTTCACACTCTGCCCCCATCTCAACACTGCCTTCATCAGCCTCTATCTCCTCACCTCAGCCTTTCCCGCCTCAGCATGAGCCACTCCCACCTCAACACTTGTCAGCTCAGACTTTACACCCAGCTCAGCGCTTCTCGCCTCTGTCCCCCACCTCAACACTTCCCACCTTGGACTCTACACCCAGCTCAGCACTTTTTGCCTCTACTCCTCACCTCAACACTTCCCTTCTCAACCTGAGCCCTTCCCACATCAGCACTTCCCATCTCAGCCTGAATCCTCCAGCCCTATCTGTCTGAGACTGAGCCCCCTACCTCAGCAATTTCAATCTCAAACTCTACAACCCTCCTCAGCACTTCTTGCCTCATTTTGAGCCCCCCACTTCAACCCTTCCCTCCTCAGACTGAGCTCCCCCCCCATCTCAGCACTTCCCGCCTCAGCCTAAGCCCCATATTTCAGAGATTCCTGCCTCTAACTGAGCTCCTGATTTCGGCACTTCCTGCCTGAGCCCCGTCAGCCCTTCCTGCCTCCTCAGCGAACCCAGCCTCAGCTTATCTCCCCCACCTCAGCACTTCCCACCTTAACCTGATTCCCCCACCTCAACACTTCTTGCCTCAGCATTATTCCCCCACTTCAGCATTTCCCACCTCAGCCAGAGCCCCCTCAGTGCTTCTCGCCTCAGAGCTTCCTGCATCAGGCTGAGCTCCGCATTTCAGTACTTTCCATTTTACACTCTGCCCCCGTCTAAGCGCTTCCCATCTCAGCCTCTACCACCTCACATTAGCTCCTCCCACCTCAGACTGAGCCTCCCCTCACCTCAGCGCTTCCCACATCAGCCTGATTCCCCCACCTCAGAACTTCTTGCTTCAGCCTGTACCACCCATCTCAACATTTCCCACCTCAGCCAGAGCCCCCGTAGTGCTTCTTGCATCAGCCTGTGCCCTGCACCTCAGTGCTTTCCACCTCAACCTAAGCCCCCCCACCTCAGTGCTTTCCATTTCACACTGCCCCCATCTCAGCCTCTGCCACCTCACCCCAGTCTTCCCACCTCAGACTGAGCCCCCCTTACCTCAGCCCTTCCCACCTCAGACTGAGCCCCCTTCACCTCAGCCCTTCCCACCTCAGACTGAGCAACCCCTACCTCAGCACTTCCCACCTCAACCTCAGTCCCCTCACCTCAGTGCTTCCTACCTCAGCAGTTCTTGCCTCAGCCTGTGTCCCCCACCTCAGCATTTCCCACCTAAGCCAGAGCTCCCTCATGCTTCTTGCCTTGGAGTGTCTTGCATCATCCTGAGCTCTGCATGTCAGTGCTTTCCATTTCACATTGTGCCCCCATCTCAGCGCTTACCTCAGCCTCCACCACCTTACCTCAGCCTTTCCCACCTCAGCCTGAGCGTCTGCCAGCTCAGCATTTGCCACCTCAGCCCAGTTCTCCCACCTCAGCACTTCTTGCCTCAGCCGGTGCTCTCCACCTCAGCCTCTGCCACCTCAGACCATCCCATCTCAGCCTGAGCCCCCTCACCTCAGCCGTTCCCGCCTCAGCATGAGCCACTCCCACCTCAACACTTGCCAGCTCAGACTCTACACCCAGCTCAGCACGTCTTGCCTCTGCCCCCCACCTCAACACTTCCCTTCTCAGCCTGAGTCCCCCAGCGCTTCCCGCCTCAGCCTGAGACACCCCACCTCATTGCTTCTAGCCTCAGCCTGAGCAGTGCACCTCAGCCCTATCTGTCTGAGTCTGAGCCCCCCACCTCAGCACTTTCCATCTCAGACCCTACATCCTACCTCAGCACTTCTTCTTGCCTCAGTCTCAGCCCCCCACCTCAGACTGAGCCCCCTCACCTCAGTCTTTCCCATCTCAGCCTGAGCTGCTCCCAGCTCAGCACTTCCTGCCTCAGCACTTCCTTCCCGCACTTCAGAGATTCCTGCCTGTAACTGAGCCCCTGATTTCGGCGCTTCCTGCCTGAGCCCCTCCAGACCTTCCTGCCTCCTCAACGAATCCAACCTGTGCCCTTCCACTTCAATAATTCTAGCTCAGCCTGATCATCCACCATCCAGCCACCACCTCAGCACATCCCACCACCTCAGCGTGAGCCTCTGCTTCTCACCTCCCACCACAGCATTTCCCACCTCAGCCAGAGCCCCCACAGTACTTCTTGCCTCTGCGCTTCCTGCATCAGCCTGAGCCCTGCACCTCACGGCTTTCCATTTCACACTCTGCCCTCATCTCAGTGCTTTCTACCTCAGCCTCTACCCCCTCACCTCAGCCCTTCCCACCTCAGACTGAGCCACTCCCACCTCAGCACTTCCCACTTCAACTTCACCCCCCTCACCTCAGCGCTTCCCACCTCAGCCTGATTCCCCCACCTCAGCACTTTTTGCCTCAACCTGTGCCCCCCACCGCAGCCTTTCCCACCTCAGCCTGTGCCCCCCACTTCAGCATTTCCCACCTCAGCCAGCGCCCCCTCAGTGCTTCTTGCCTCAATGCTTCCTGCATGAGCCTGAGAACCTGCACCTCAGTGCTTTCCACCTAAACCTGAGCCCGCACCTCAGTGTTCCCCACCTCAGCCTTTGACCCCCTCACCTCAGCACTTTTCACCTCAACCTGAGCTCCCTCACCTCAGCGCTTCACACCTCAGCCGGATTCCCCCACCTCAGCACTTCTTGCCCCAGCCTGTGTCCCCCACCTCAGCCTCTGCCCCCTCACCTCAGCCCATCCCACCGTGGCCTGAGCCCCCCTCACCTCAGCGCTTCCCACATCAGCCTGATTCCCTCACATCAGCACTTCTTGTCCTAGCTTGTGGCCTCCACCTCAACACTTCCCACCTCGGACTCTACACCCAGCTCAGTGCTTCTTGCCTGTGCCCCTCACCTCAGTGCTTCCCACCTCAGCCTGAGCCTTCCCACCTCATCGTTTTTCACCTCAGCCTGAGCAGTACACCGCAGCCCTATCTGTCTGAGCCTGAGTCCCGCACCTCAGACTCTACACCCCACCTAAGCACTTTTTGCCTCAGTCTGAGGCCCCCCACCTCAGTGCTTCCAGCTCAGCCTGATCATCTGCCACCCACCAACCACCTCAGCACTTCCCACCTCTTCAGTATGAGTCCCTGCTTCTCACCCCCCACCTCAGTGCTTCCCACCTCAATCTTAGCCCCACAGCTGAGGGCTTCCCGCCTCCTTCTCTGCCCCCCATGTCAGCACTACCACCTCAGCCTGAGTCCTCCGCACCTTAACCCATCCTGCTTCAGTGTAAGCCACTCCCATCTCAGCACTTCCCGCCTCAGACTCTGCAACCCTCCTCAGCACTTCTTGCCTCAGTTTGAGCCCCCCACTTCAACCCTTCCCTCAGACTGAGCCCCCCCATCTCAGCACTTCCCACCTCAGCCTAAGCCCCATATATCAGAGATTCCTGCCTCTAACTGAGCCCCTGATTTCAGTGCTTCCTGCCTGAGCCCCTTTAGCCCTTACTGCCTCCTCAACCTCAGCGAATCTTGCGTCAGCTTATCTCCCCCACCTCAGCACTTTGCCTGGCCCCTCTCTTCAAAGCTTCCAGCTCAACCTGAGCATCCACCATCCAGCCACCCACTACCGCAGGATGAGCCTCTGCTCCTCACCTCCCACCTCAATATTTCCTGCCTCAGCCAGAGCCCCCTTAGTGCTTCTTGCCTCTGTGCTTCTTGCATCAGCATAAGCCCTGAATCTCAGTGCTTCCCATTTCACACTCTGCCCCCATCTCAGTGCTTCCCACCTCAGCCTCTATCCCCCTCATCTCAGCCCTTCCCATCTCAGCCTGAGCCCCCCTCACCTCAGTGCTTCCCACAACAGCCCGATTCCCTTACCTCAGCACTTCTTGCCTCTGCCTGTGTCCCCCACCTCAACGCTTCCCACCTCAGCCTGAGCCTTCCCACCTCATTGCTTCTTCAGTCAGCCTGAGCAGTGCACTTCAACACTTTCCATCTCAGACTCTACACCCCACCTCAGCACTTCTTGCCTCAGACTGAATACAGTATGTCACATCTCAGCACTTGCCATCTCAGACATAGCCCCTCAGTGCTTCCAGCTCAGTCTGATCATCTGCCACCCACCAACCACCTCAGCACTTCCCACCTCTTCAGTATGAGTCCCTGCTTCTCGCTTCCCACCTCAGCCTCTGCCCCCCACCTCAGCACTTCCTGCCTCAGCCACTCACAGCACAGCACTTCCAATCTCTGCCCCCAGCCTCAGCCTTTCCCGCCTCAGCATGAGGCTAGGCCTACTCTATAGCCTTTTTTTTCTATTGCTTTTCCAGAAGAGGCTTTCCGCCATTTGGCCCTGTCTAGATGTGTGTCTAGATCTGTGTCTAGACAGGGCCAAATGGCAGAAAAGCCTCCTCTTTCGGAGGAGACCTTAATCCTCGTAGAAAGAGGTATACAGGGCGCTCTGAAAGAGCATGTTTGTTCTTCTGCAAAAAAAAAAAAGGGGAAAGAGCAAACGTGTTCCCTGGACACGGCGGAGTCAAGACTTACCTTGAGCCATTCCCACCTCAGCGCTTCCCAAATCAGCCTGATTCCCCCACCTCAGCACTTCTTGCCTCAGCCACTCTCATTACCACACTTCCAATCTCTGCCCCCAGCCTCAGCAGTTCTCACCTCAGCCTGAGCCCCTCCCTCCTCAGCCTTTCCCGCCTCACACTGAGCCATTCCCATGTCAGCATTTCCCAAATCAGCTTGATTCCCCCACCTGCCTCAGTACTTCCTGCCTCAGTCTGTGTCCCCTACCTCAGCACTTCCCATATCAGATTGAGCTCCCCAGCACTTCCCACCTTATCCTGAGCCTCCCACTTTAGTGCTTCCTGCCTCAGCCTGAGCCAATGTTCCCTCTAAGATTTTCCATCCAGGAGTGGGGTGAGCTTTGTCTCACGCATCAATATTGAGGTCATGTGTGCTTATTTGGATGTGTGTAACTGTGGCACTCACCAGTGGTGCTGCTCCCCGAGAGACTCTCCCAGCACAGAGAACCCAGCCTGATTCTCCCTTGCTGGGACCCTGAACCCTGCTCCCAGGCAGGGCCCCCACCTTCTGTGAAGATGAGACCTGCTCCTCAGGGAGCACTGCTCCTTGGGCAGTCTGTGTGCAGGGCAGGGGCTGCCCCACGTTGTTCCCAACAAGGCTGGCTGTGAGTCTTCACCTGGGGCAGAGGGAAGCTTCTGCCAATGACCAGGGTTTGCAGGGAGCAGGGTGCTGGGGGTGGAGCAGCGACATGTAGGGAGCTGGGGGGGAGAGGAGGGCAACCAGCAAGGGGATGAAGAGGTCAGAGAGTTATGAAAGCCAGAGGGCAGTGAGATGTGAAGAGAGGTGTGGGAGGGGGGAACAGGAATGCAGGGGGCCCCAAGCCCCAGAAGTAGCTGCGCCACAGCTCAACTTCAGCCCTAGCCCCAGGCGCTGCTGCACCATAGCCCGGCTCCAGCTTTGGCAGGGGAGAGGAGGGCAACCAGCAAGGGGATGAAGAGGTCAGAGAGTTATGAAAGCCAGAGGGCAGTGAGATGTGAAGAGAGGTGTGGGAGGGGGGAACAGGAATGCAGGGGGCCCCAAGCCCCAGAAGTAGCTGCGCCACAGCTCAACTTCAGCCCTAGCCCCAGGCGCTGCTGCACCATAGCCCGGCTCCAGCTTTGGCAGCTGCT